TGGATCATAGTGATATTCTCGACCAGAAATTAGCTTTTTGTGAGCTGAAATAGTTTTCAATTTGTCCATCTCAGCAAATTGTTGCGGAGGATGGATATATTTTGATTTACGTGATTGATGATTAACTTTAATTCTAAATTTCTTGAACTTTGGAATTTTGAATTTTTAGATTTTGGATTTGGTGGGTGTTTGAGTGGCATTTTTTAAATTTTGAATTGATCCATCCAGTTGAGATTTGCATTCAACGCGTCCATCATCGGGTTATTTACAGGCATTTATATTTTATTGATTGAACCTTGTTGACTCTGTCTAGCTGTTGACATAAGATCAGGTTCATAGGCTTTATATTTTGTTGGTGAATTTCTTTTGCTATATACCTTAAAGGCGTAATATGAATGTATAAAATAGATATCCTGGTCGACACCTTGATTGTATATATGTTTGATAGTTTGAGCCGTGTCAACCCCTATTTATCCACATATAAGGATTGGGCTCAAACTTGGATTCATTTATTAACCCACGCAATATAGCTAGATATCACATGTGCACCCATAACACGCTCATCAGGGCCTATGCAGGTATATGATTGCATGTGCCCTTCTATGTACTTATGTGCATAAATATTACAGTGCATATGTGGGGACATTTTTGGATGTACGATAGGTCTCCTGCGACGGCTTGTAGAAGTTCATCTTTATCGTAGTCCTTTCAACATTAGCCTGTGGATGGTGTGTGGGATGCACGACCACTATTTATCGAGGATTCTTGCATACTTAACTGCAATCAAGCTGTATATTCCTTCTTGATTTCTATTGCCTGTGGGGTTAAATGCCTTTACTTCTATCTTGATGCTACTCACAAAATATTGTTATATTCACTGCACATTGATCTTATGTCGTAAACGACAAATGTATTCATGACCTTTACTGATTATAAGTATGCTAATAAGCTCATCTACGAGTTGCTTGACGTCGACCACATAACATCGTTGCATTCATTGCATACCTTCATACATCCATGAGAATTTCCATGCCTACTTGTAAAATGGCTTATTGTAGGAATGTCATCACACTCGTACTCAACTACTGCTTATCTTTTGGATCTTCCTTCTAATGTTGACACTTCTCCTATGTTTAATGTTCTGACCTTTCTTTATATGAAGGAAATTCTGAAGATCATGTGAAAATTGAAACTTTGCCACTCTCCACATCTATTTTAAGTTATGATGAATAAGTTGAAGATGTTATTGATGTCAAGGTTTACTAAAACTCGGCATGGCGAACACATGTGGTTTTTGGCTAAGTGGAAGAATCGTCCTTTGACAAACTGTACTTGGATGGATGCCAATGAGTTGAAGAAACGTCATCCGGATCTTTATAAAAAGATTGTGGAAGCTTTCTCATTAGGAGATGAGATTCTTCCACCAGGGAAGAATTGATACATTCATGTTTTTAGTTTATTTTGTTTTGATGTAATTTGAACAATATTAGTTGTGTTTTATGTTTTTTTTTTTAAAGCTATCCAATGATGGAGAGAATCCAATGATCATGGTAGGAAGTGCTTGGGCATGCAAGTCTTGGAGAGGACTTACAGACTGTAGAGGCTGAGCAGCAGTCCTTCACCGCTGTTGTAGCTCAGCGATTTACAGGCTCGTCTTCCTTGATGTACTCTTTCTTCTCTTTTTTTTTGAAGCTCTGTCAAAGTTTACAACTTTCCTTTCTTCTATAAATGGTGGTTTGGATGAATGTGTGCACCCAACACCTCACTATATTGATATCCGAACTACCGATCTTAGGAACTATCTTTTACTCGTTCAGCTCGCTCTGATTGAAATGGAAGAGATCGCCTCAACCCACTGGGAAAAAAAACTAGTCTAGTAGGCTACCGACATCACTCATCTGTGCTGACACATGCCTTTACCGAACGCAGGTTTTTTCCTCAGTCCCATCCAAAGGGGGGTTTGCTTGCTTTTGGTTCCTTCTTGTCCTTGGGCTGCTTGTTGTTCTCGGTTTGGAGCCTTGGCTGTTCACGGGCTGGGCTTTGGCTGCTTGGTTTTGAGCTTAAAAGGTTAGGTTCTACTTGATGTTAGCTCATTAATGCTTAAGCTGAAGTTTAGCTCATTATTTAAAAAAGTAATTGCACTTCCTATCTCATAAATTCAAAAAAGTATGTGAAGTGGATCTTGTCTCTTCCCATTCTTGTGTCTCTTTGGTTTCTTCTTTGAGAATAAAAGCTATGGCTGGTTGTCTTTTGGGATTTCTCCCTGGCTACTTTCCCGTGAATCCCCTATCCTGTTTCATGTGTTGGCTCCTCGGGTCCCTCTCTGGCTGCTTTCCCGTGGCTTGCTGGCTGGGTTCCCGTGGCTTTTCTCCCTGTTTTCTGTGCAGTTTATGGGGGCTGTTGTGGTGTCTTTTGTCCTTTCATTTCCCCAAGCCTGATTGGTTTTGGTTGGAGGTGTTATGGCTATTTGGCTTCTTTCTTTTGCTTATAAATTGGAGATGTTTTGAGAAGGAAAAGGTTGTTGAATATTTGAGCAAAATCTCTACTAAAACCCTGAGGGTTTCTTCTCTTGGAAAAGCTTGAGAGCTTGTTCTACCCCCGTTTCCTCTTCTCAATTTCGTCTTGGCTTCTAATCTATTCTTCTCCACGCAAGTTCCACTCCACCTGTATCCTTCTTCTTGAGCTCTTGGAAGTTGTTTGTTGGCTGATTTTTAGAGACATTTGTCGGAAGAGTTTGGTAGGACGTTGGACTCTTTTGTAGTGGAGGAACCTCGGTTTGCAAGCCTAAGCACTATTTTATATATCTTCCTACTCTTTTTGCATGGGAGGAAAACGCTAGACGGTTGTTCTGAGGATAATGTTTTTATATTATTATTTTATTTTGTTTGATTTGACTTTTATTTATCCGAATATTTGTTTGGTTGTTTGCAAGCTAAAGTGAATCGAGTTTGGTTTTATTTTGTCCTTGTGTTCTCCAACTTGGCTTTTCTCTCTAGTTTGCTTACATCATATTCTTACATGATTGATACAAAATACATCATTATTATTCTTGTATGATTTGTAACATATGTTCATGTCCTTGTTTGTAATCATTTAAATACTTCAAATTGATTGGATTTCATCGTCCGCTATTCATGTGCACTGAAAACTTATCTTTCATGAGTCCCTTGCTTAGATGCAAACCATTTTTGAAGTGTTTCTCACCATAAGTCTTTTATTTGTTTATTGTTGTTGCCCATAACTTTCTTCTTGCACATTGATATCCATTTAGATAGGTTGAGTTATCATTTAGTGTTGTGTTCTTATTTTGCTCTAATTGTGCATTTGGCAGCTTAGAGTTTGGTTCCCTGTTAATTTGATTTAAGTTCCCTGTAATCAATCTGGCTCAAGTCAAGTTAAAGTTCCTTGTACTTAGTTCATTTAAATTCAAGTCATTTGTTGCTCTTTATCATTTGCTTATGTTCAAATTTATTTGATTTCAATTTAGATTCTTTGTTCAATTTGGATTCAAATTCTCTGCTGTTCAGTTCAAATCAGGTCCTCAGTTCAATGCAAATTTGACAGCCTTTCGGCGTCTCCCCCATTTAGGAAAAACTACAGGAGTCTTAGCATGCCTGCCACGTCAAGAAAAACCTACACGATCGGTGTCGGGGGACACCGCATCCATAATCTTCGTCCCCACCACGCCAAGAAAGGCGTGCATGGGACTTCAAAAGCACCTATTTGAAAAAAAATAGTTTTTTACCCGCATACAGGTGCTTATATTTTTGCCCTTCCGTGCTAATAAAAGCGCGCACAAAGATCGTCCACTTTGCCGTAAGCGCCGCACCAAGTTCTCTCCCACCACGCTAAGAAAAGCGTGCATAGAGGGTCCCTTGTTGTGCCGCAAATGTGAAAAACATGACTCTAGGAGGATTACCCACCTCGCCGCAAGCACCGCAACGAACTTCCTCCCACCGTGCTAAAAAAAGCGCGCATGCGTGGTTGTTTGTCATGCTGCAAGCGCCGAGGGCAAGTTTTTGTAAAGTAATATGAAATCTTCACAATATGGAGATCAATATAATTCTCTCATAATTCCTCACAATATGGAATCTTCAATCTTTGTAAAGTAATGAAAGAAGGGGAGAGATATGATTATTACGTTAGTAGGATTACATTTGCAAAATTGAAAGGAATTTAGAATAACTTGAAACTGAAATTTGAACTGTTGATAAATTTTAGGAGGTAAGGTAAAAGAGAGAGAAAAGTAGAGGGGTTTGGTGTGAGAATTCACCATTTCTTTTCAGACTTTGCTTCTTAAATTGATTCATGATGCATTTATTGTTGTGTAATTTCACTAAATGCTTTAGAATAACTTCCAACCAAGCTATACCTATCCTTCCCTGCAAGATAAATTCTGTTATCATAGGTTCTTTATATAATATTACCTGCACATTTGTTTATCCTCCAGCCTTACTGATCCTTCACTTAGTCACTTATGTAGAATAGTAAAGGGTAAAGCAACTGGTCTAGGTGGATGCCCTGTTTGTGGCAAGGTGATACAAACATGTTCTCAAAGAAAATGCTCTTTCTTCCAGAGTTAATTGGCTAGATTCTTTAACAAAGAGAAGCCTTGATACGGAAACTAAACTAGTAAAATATCATATTCACATGCCTTCTCCAACAAGTTCACTCGTATAAAACTAGATGACTGCAGTGCATTTTTTTTCTTAGATGACTGCAGTGCATTGATACTGAAGTAATCACACAAATAGAAGCTTTACAGTAGAGTTAACCACTTTATTTTTATGAAAAGGACAGATCCCAGAGTATTAAGAAAGTACTAATCATAGGCAACGCCATTGTACAACGCTATCCTACAAAGCATTAGTCACGAACAATCAAAACCAGGACAGTTAGCAATTTAGTGCTACATAAAATAATGCAGTTGTATAATTAAATTGAAGGAACAAAAGTTACAACCTTATTAAAATAGGAAAACACCTTGGAAAATTATGTACCTTATCAAAGTTGAATTGGGCGCTGTGTAATCCCTCATTCTTTAGTAACTCCCACCGACGGTTTGCATAATTAAATGAATGGTTATTGCTGGGCAATGGAAACTCAACCCTCTGGTCCAAAAAAAAGAAAGAAAGAAAGATTTACAGTCAAATATCCTTCTTTTTTCCAACTCTGATTTGAGAAGAGGCAGCTATATAAAAATAATTTTAAAGAACAAATCATATGTGAAATTCTTGAAAGAAAGTTAAAACAAAGAATCTCACATTTGGGTGAGCAAATTCATTGCCCATAAAATTTAGATACGCAGAGCCACTTATGGTAAAAGTAATCAACTTCATCATCTGCATGAGAAAGTAAACGCCTTTGAATAAAGCAACAATTTTGATGATGAAGCCATTAAAAGAACTGATTCGTAAGATCAACAAACAATATCAATCCAACCATAAGAGACTTAGGAGCATTTTGGTTTGATGAAAAATGAACGTAAAATATTCTAAATAAAAGGGTTTTAGAAATTTTGATGCTTGGTTTGATCAAAAGGAAATCAGAGTAAAATTAAGGCTAGTTCTAAATTCACTCCACACTTCATTTTGATGTATTAAAAGCTCGTCTGTTTTTGGTCGAATTTCAAATACACTGCAAGCTCTGCCCTAGCCATCAACCCTAAACCAACATGACTAGTGTAGTCCAAACTAACCTGAAAAACAATGTATACATCTAGCTTTCATTCTGAATTTTCGTTCAAAACTCCAAGGATTTAATAAGGCTGTATATGAGGGCAATAGCTATGAACCTAATCGATTGACTACATCAGCATCCAAAACAAATATTAAAGCTATGCATTGATATAGTCTAAATGACTCAATAAAAAAGTTCAGTGTTTTCCATTGCTCAAGGCGGGACATGGCACTCAATTGGCAAAAAAAATGTTTATGCATCCCAAGCATGGTTTAGAGTTCTTTAAGTCCATGTGGTTCATACTATACTGAATGTTTTTAGAAGAAAAACTTTATGAAACTAATTCAGTCGAATGAAAAAAAAACATGAATAAGAATAAAAAAGATTGGAGAAAAATTAAAACTTAAAACAAATTTCAATACAACGGAAGCATTAGCATTGAACCAAGAGCAACAACAAATAAGAATCAATTAAAGTAGATTGTAAATATTGAAGGATGGTTGAATTTCAAAATAAGTTCTTCAATCGATGTTAACCTCTGTTTAAATTCCAAAAATGAACCAGAATAATACCTGTTGGATCCATGAATGCCGGCAGAAATCCCGTCGAGGCACTTCTAATCCCGCAAATCCCGCGATACCACTGCGCATTCGGCGTCGTTCCGCGATTTCTGCTCAAAACCAGCGACTCGCCTCGATCGAACGACCCCAGACGTCGTTAAATACCGACCCAGAACCCCTCTTCTTTCGTTCGCTACCTCTCCTCTCCCGCTCTCTCTGCTTCTCCCGAAATCCACGATACTCAACTCCCGACCTCCTCTCCCACAGCAGCTGCCTCCGATCACTTTGTCCGATCCGACGCAGCTGGAGCCCTCATCCGACGTCCTAGCCGCCTGGATCCCGTCAACCTTGCGATCAAAATTCCTGTCCGTGCCGACTCCAACGAGAGAGAGAGAGAGAGAGAGAGAGAGAGAGAGAGAGAGAGAGAGGG